GTGGATCGCAAGATATCGTCGAAAAACATAAGTGCGCCACAATACCCCCCGCGCCATAATACCCATGGTTCCCTTATGTCATAATTCTTTACTTATTATTAATTATTGTCTGTGATGATGCTGAAACAGGATGATGCTGAAACTTGGGATCTCGATTTAAAAATATAAACCCTACTAAAATCCACCTATACTTTTTTATTATAAACACTAACCCTAAACCCTAACCTAACTACAAAAAAAAAAAGACTAAAAAAAATGTTCCCAAAAAGTTTAAAATTTTATACTAAAATAAAGTTTCAGCATCATCCGGTTTCAACATCATCCCCAACAATTATTACGCGAAAAATGGTAAAAAATAATTACTCATCTCTAATATGTAAACTCCGCAGATATTACCGAAGTTAGACAGAATATATCGGAACTGTACCAGTTTGATGATTAATCGATTAGTTGTTTAAATTTTTTTAAATCGATTAGTTGGAAACTAACGATTTGGATCACTATCTCAACAGACCCATTTTTGAATAACGACCGGTATTAAAAATTTGATTACAGAATTCTGACGGTTAAAAAATAAGAGTAAAAAATGCATTCGAAAAAATTTTGAAGAAGATTTGTTTATCAAAAAAAAAAAATTTTTATTTCCTGATACCTTTTTTTTTTTAAAAAAAAAGATGTATTTAATGATCATTTATCTAGGCAATAAAGTGTATTTTTCTTCGTACATTTCATATTTTCAATTTCTTAATATCATCCATCATTTTTGAATCAATATGAAGTTTGAATTAATAATACCGTAGGGGCGCTGCATTCAGTAGCCGAGGGTGCAATTCAAGGGGTTGATCTTAATGCAGAGGCTCATTTTTTATTGAACGTTACTAGTTTTGCAAGCTTAATTTATACCAGGGTGCAAATCAAAATTTTTTTCAGGATAGATACTATTCTAGGGGTATGAATGCAACGTTCTATGGTAATTTCTAACACAGTTTTTGAGTTTTTAGTATCTACTTCATCCATTTCAGCTATATATTATATTTGGAAATAATTGAATTCATTTCAATTGACAATTGGTATTAATGTACAAATTATCTCCTATATACTTGGTTTGTTCAGCTTCTATAAGAGAATGTTAATTATTAGAAATTTAATTTTTAGTATAACGTGAAATCGAAAAAAATAGCGATGTTTTGAAAAAAATCTCTTGTAACTCATAATTTTGTTTATGAAATTACCTTTTGCGTTCTAGCAAAAAAATTCCTTGCAAAATTTTGGGTATAACTTACTATCAAACCTAATCTTCACGTTACACCGGATCTTATGGGATGCACCCGCGCCTAATGAATTGAACCTAGCTGCCGCACCAATTTTGTCACGGATGATTCTTGATTTTGATTGGCTATGAGCGACGATCTCTTGATTTTGATTGGCTAAGAGCGTCGACCAATAATTTAGGCCAATGTTACTCAAAATTTTACTAATGAAACCACAGCTAGGGTTGTGTTACAAAAATTACAATCTTACATTACTTGTAATTTTACGTAAGTTACGGTAAATCGAATTTCATGAAATTTAATCACGTTTTATATCAAGCGCCAGCATTACAAAAATTTGGCCAGTATTATTCATGCGGGATTTGGATAATTTAGTTTAGAGATACATTCTTGATATGTATTTTCTCTATTTTAATTTTATAATAAAATTTATATAAAATTGCAAATATAAAAATGAATATCCGATTCATAATAGTGTATCTGCAATTTCCAACTTCACTGTACTTCTTTTCTTAGCTATGTAAGAGATTTTGCGAGCAGATAATTTTTTTTGCGAATTGATTATTTTAAACTATTACTTAACAAAATTGAAAGCACTAACTGAAATCCAAGCGCCTAGTGAAGCAAATACAAAATAATAGAATTTTTTGAATTCTGAACGATAAGCAAAAAGAAAAAAACATGAAGTGATAGCAATAGAAGAATGTGAAAACCAATAATTTTTGGTAGTAAACAAAAATACCAAAGAAAAAATATCTGTTAGTTTAAGTAATCGAATAATTATCAAATTCGTTATACTCATTTTCAAACATATTAAGAACCCTGTTAGAAAAATTTGCAAGATTATCTTCTTCAAGTACATCGTCATCTGAATTACTTGGCTCCTGATTATCTAAATTAATATTACCAAGTGCCATAACGATTAGTGCACTTTATATATTATATTAAACTAAATTCAAAAAAAAAAAAAGTCACCATTATAAGTTTCTTCGGCTGGATTGTTTTGTAGATCTTTAATTAATATAGACCTATTTAATTGGCGAAGAATTCGTGTATTCCA